ATTGGTCTCTTCCTCGCTTGAATCGCTTGAGGAAGCGGCATAAGAAACCAAAGCCTCCGCCTGATCATCATCGTCCACCACATCTGCCCACGCTCTGCTGAACCGATACGACAACCCACCGCGAGGCTTCAGTTCCAGTGGTTTTGGTTTCTCCACCACTTCCGCCGGTTGCGCTCGTCGCTGTGAGCGAGAGCGTGGCACCTGTCGCACCTGTTTTTTGTCCAGCAAGGGCCTTCCCCTTTTCACAGGGTTTGATCTTGACCGATACTTTTTTGTTGGTGGATTCACCGGTGGCATTCCAACTCCCACCAACTTCAGCTTCTGTACACACAGCAGAGACCTCTGCGCAAGCGTCCAAGCGTCACGGTACTTGACCTTATCAAAAAGCTCCCGATAGGAGCCTCTTTGCACCGGAGTCTTCAGCTTCACGCACCTGAGTGAGGGTTCGCACCGCCGCTCTTCCAGTCCCTTTGTTCCCAGAAGATTGTTGTACTCGTACAGATGCATCAGAAGGAACTGCCTTTTCCGGTCCTCCCGGTCGATATCGGACCTCGCCCACCAATTGCAGAATTTTGCATGCGGTCACCTTGTTGATCCCTTTGTCAACCAAATCTTCCACAAAGATGAACTCTTGCAAGTCCGACACATTGGTCACACCAAGGGTAATCATCACCTCACTTACATGAGGGGTATACACCCACAGGTGTTGGTTGCGAGCCATCCAATTTTCAATTGGCTCCTCTGGATTGTGAAGCTGAGTGCTAGTAGACGCAGCCACCGAATTCTTTTGTTCATCCGCCTCTTCTTCATCCAGAATACCCTTTTCACCATCTTTTTGTGACACATTGGTCATCTGCAGCGCTTGTGGTGCTGAGGAGGACGAAGATTCTGCTCCCCCACTTACTGGTGGTTGAAAAGCGTTCCTGTCAGGAATCTCCAATCCCTTTGCCCTTTGAAAGGACACATGGTTTGCCACATTCACCAAATGCTTCAACTGGGCCAGCCGGTCCTCAGACATCTCTTCGTGAGAATACTTGCAGCCAAATCGCACACGACATCTCCCTTTGAGATAGTAGTCGAAACAGCACTGGTGGAACCCCGCGTCCCTTAGTGCCCTTCTGGAAGCATTGTCCCAAGATTTGCCAGGCTCCCAAGTCCCTTCCAATGCCACGTCATCGTCGTGGAGATACCTGCACGCAGTCCCATATTTACAACCACTTTGGTTGTAATACAGACACAGCCGTTTCTTCGTTTCACCCAGCGTAGGCTCACCTTTTGATGTCCCTTTGCCATAGTTGTACTGGGCTCGGAAGGCCGAATCCTCCCGCTCCTGCTGCACCTCATCCACTGTACCTTCATCAGTTGGAGGCACCGATGTCCCCATCCTCGTCACCAGTTTTTTGGCTGTTCTTTGGCTCAGTTGGCTCTCCTTCAGGCCACCCTTCACCGTAGCGACGATGTTCATAGGAACACCCATCTCCATTTCGACACCTCCCTTGATTGAAGAACCTGCACAGCTTACTGTATCCAAGTGACACAGTTTTCGGAGTCGTGTGAGCCTTTTTGTACTGATCAGGATCCATATAGGTCTCTATCGGCCTGTTTTCCCTCTTGCTCATCTCCTCGACTGCACCGTCAAGCTCTTGCAGAAATCGCTTGGTGTCCAACCACAGGTTCCAAAGCTCATCTTTTCCCTTGCTCAGCAACATTGCCACCGCTTCACCCACAACTGGTCCACTAAATCTTCTTTTCTTGCGTGCCAGTTCGTAGAGCGCGTCGTGGTACTGCTTCCGGGAAAAAGTGGTTGTTTCTTCCACACCGACACGTTCTTTCTCCTCAGGCTTCCAACCATCACTTAGCAAGATGTTGTATGCGCTCCGAGCCTCATTATTCAGGACTGCATGATCTGCAATACACTCCAGAATCACATCCATTGAACGACCCAGCAACATCCCAGTGATTTTGCCCACGTAGTCATTATCAATTGTTTCATCTTCCAGGAGATTTCGACAGATCTTCTCTCCATAGAGCTGTTTCTGCTCCGCCTCCTCTTGTTCCCTCGAGGATGCTTTTGACTCGGCGAACCACTCACGAGACTGCGGTTCCTCTGACTTCCAGTCCCATTGACCATCAGAACCTTTGTACCATTGACCAGTCTGCCATGAGCCTGTCCACCATGTACCCCAGCCGCTGTCCTTCCATTTGCGCAGCTTTGGCGAGGAATCCTCCTCGTTCTCTTCCAAAACCAGAAAGGTGTCCAAGATTATGGTACCATCATCTTCCACTCGTTTCACTGTTCCATTGACAGTATCACCAAATTGGAACTGATGTACATTGTTCCCTTCTGCAGGAATCAATACATTTAGATCACCATAGTCCAAAAAAGCTCCATACCCATTGATGCAGCGCACTAGACCAGTGATCTTATCTCCCTCTTCATAGCAATGTGTCCCAGGTGATTCCAAGGCTCCCGCTCGGGGCACTTTCTTTGCATGCTCTTCAGAAACCATCTCTGTATCATCGGCTCCTGGCGCATCCTTTGTCTTCACCTTTGGGTCACACTGCTCGTCCTGTTCCACGAGTCCCACAAGCTCATCTTTTTTGTGCTCTTGGATTTCAGGACTTCCCTTTTTCTCTGCCAAAGGCTTTGCCTCATCTGCTTCAGTTCGCTCGGTGTCGACTTCCGGTGAACTTCCAGACGGCAACGCTTCTCCCTTCATGGGAGTGGACCCTTCATTGGTGTCCTTTGTCACACCTTCTGCAGCAGGCAAATTTTCTTCCGCTGCAGGGCGATTGAGTTGATCATCCACGGCAGGCACACTTTCTTCCACCGCAGGCTCCTTTGGTTCCATGGTTTCCAAAGGAGAATTGCCACCATCATTGACCACAGCTGCCTCATTGGCTCCGGTGTAGTCCTTGTCATTTCGTTCCTCGCGGCTAATTTCAGGTTGCACCAGTGCGTCCACCTGTGAACCTCCATCATCAGCTGCTGCGGAGACCTGCGCCCCATTGTTGCAGTCGCCCGTGGAACGTACCACCATATGCACCTCAACCCGTGCCTCATTCGCACTCCAGGTACTATCTGGCGCATCGACCCGCGCTTCATTGGCGCTCCAGGCCTCATCTTTCTTATCAACCGTGTCTCCAGCAGTTTCAGAAGTTTCCTTTTCCCTTTGAATGGCAGATTTCTCGGCACCAAACGAAGAGACCTCCTCAGTCGTAATGCACAACTTTTTCTCTTCGTCATCCAAATCTCCAGGGCCATCTTCCTGAACGACAGGCACCACATCCACCACTCGCTCTTCTGTAGCCGACACAATTCCGATCTCCACATTGGGCATTTTTTCTTCTGGACCCACCGATTCCACCGCTGCCACACCCTCAGAAAGCATCCCCATTTCTTCCCGATCCAGATGTTGAGCTTCAGCGATGTCTGCTCGGTTTCCAGAAATCCCCTCTTCATCAGGAGAACCCGAGGTCGGGGCGTCACCACCACCCCTAGGACCGCTATCCCCGATAGTAGAGGAAAAATCCTTTTCACTTACACTATTTACACCGCTGTTCACACTTTCCATGCTACCCTGCTGTGCCCTAGAAGACTCAGTAGATGATGGAGACGAGGTAGCACCCAGCGTTGGCTCATCTTCCACAGGGACAATGCCCATTCCAACACCTGGCCCCTCGCTATTTCCAGCCATTCCAGTCTTCTTAGGCAACACCCATTGGGTATCACCAGTGTCCAAGCAGTAAAAATATTCTCTCCCATCCTCGTGAAAATGGCGTTCCCATGTCTTCCCATCGCAGTCGACGATTGGAAGGTCAGCAGCCTGAGACGCTTTGCCTCCACCACCAGCGTATAAGTCCTCGTCTGACTCTTGCTGTATTCTTGCTGCCTCCAATTCCAGGATTTCTCCTTCGCTCATCACCATAGCAACAGGAACGACTCCTTCTGCGTCCCCAACAACGAGGATACTGCTTTTTGTCGCAGCAACAGGCGCAGTTTCTTCCACTTCACCTGTCAACAGATCACCACTTTCAGCCGCGAAACTCACCTTGTTGCGAGCTCGCTTGGAAACAGGGATAACATCCCCAACCAGTTCTGTCTGGCACCCTTGCTCCACCATCTTTGACGTAGAGGAGCTTGTTGTTGGCGCTCCCGTTGATTCAGCAGATTCCGCAGCTCGAAGAAGATGCCCATGTTTGCTCAGAAGGCGCAGCAAAACTGCTTCCATCTGGTCTTCCAGTCCTTCCACCACCGGCTTCTCTTCGCCACGCATACCACCAACATCAACCAGAGCTTCCTCATTGGGAACGACTTTTTCACCCGTTGCAGACCTTTTGACACCACCATCACCTTGGTCGCCCACATTGGAGCTTGATGATGCCACCCCAGTCCGTAACCAGTTGGTCGCCATGGCTTCAAGCTTCCACCCTAAAGCCGAAACACAAACCGCAGGGAACCTAATTTGGGCTCATAACCTACGGGGGGGAACCCGAAGGGGGACGAGAAACCGAAAAGTCAACCCCAACAGAATCCCTTGATTTCCCTGGATCAACCACACAACAAACCCAAACCACAGGGCGCTCACCTTTTACTACCAGGCACATGGCCCAGTCTTGAGCCATAAGAGATTCCCGGGTACATTGACCCTTTCAACTTCCAACACTAACTCTTTTTACAATACCAGTTGCAGCTCCGCATAGGGTTTAGGGTTTAGGGTTTAGGGTTTGGGAAGTTACATGGTTCCTAGCTTCTTTACAGGGTTCTGGAGTATGGGCCCTTGGGTTGTATCAGCTAGCTCCCAGCGTCCCCAACCAACAAAATTATTTTTCTTCTTCTTGTTCGAAACTTTGAAGATCCATTTTAGGTTTTAGGGTTTTGAGGGTTTACGGTTTAGGGTTTAGGGTTTCTTTCCAGACCCCTGTCACGGAATTGTACACAGCAATTTCGTGGGGCTCCCTGGCAGCCAAGGTTCACCTGCTACCTTCACCCCAACGGCATGCACAGCGTTCGCCAGTATCCGAGCGTCTTCTGCGACGGGGCCGGCCACGCGTCCATGATGCTGATCGGAGGCCGGGCTTCAAGTTGGGGGTTAAACCCCTAAACCCGAAACCCGAAAACCGAAACCCTAAACCCTAAACCCTGAACCCTAAACCCTAGACCCCAACTCCCATTCTAAACCCTAGGCGGTGCAGGCCTTGTAGGGTTTGTTGCTTAGGGGTTGATTCAGGGCGGTCGACTTCATTTCGACCATGGCGCCTCAAGTTGTAGACTCTCGCCCCAAAGCGCTCTAGCCGTTGCTCAGGACCAACATTCTTTGGCCCGCCCTTCAAAGCTAAATCTTGGACTTTCGCGGGTACGCCGCGCTGGTTTATAACCAGAAACTAAAGCGGACACACACGTCAACGTCACAGTATCTAGCTGGTAGCGAGCACACCTGAGGCTAAGTGCCCCAAATAAGGCTACAACCATAGTTACCCGACTTTCTATCCCTGCTTAGAAGTACCCATGCACCTCCAAGTAAGCCTACTTTGTGTCTGTCTCCCGAAGGCATCCTCATGACGCTGGTCGCCGGATTTCTCGCCGCCTGCGCTTGGGCGGTGTGGCGCATGCCATACTGGACCCTCAAGCAGGAGCGCGGTCCTCCAAGAAAGATACTTAATTACCTCTCTCTCTCTCTCTTGTACAATCTATTTAGATTTGGTTTTCGTGCCTGCAGATGTTTGGTGGTGGTGGCCTTGAATGTTAACTAGCACTTTACTTTGCTTCGAACATCCCCACCCTCTCTGGGTAGAGATACTGTGGGGTTGGGCACTCCCGGGACACTCTGGGGCTGGGCACTCCAGGGATGAGCCAGGAGAAGGCAGTACCTCAAACCTTTTAACCACCCCCCAAAAAACACTTCGAACACCCCACCCTGCAGATTTGGAATTTGCACCCCCTCCTACTCAGGGGCCACGCACTGCAAGGGTGCTCTGGGGATACGCTGGGGATGGGCATTCCAGGTATTCTCGGAGGAAACCCTAAACCCAAAACTCTAAACCCTTAACCCTTAATTGAACCCTCAACCCTCCTCCCCGCCCTCCCTACATCCTAAACCCCACCCCAAGCTCCCCTCTCTCCCTCTCTCCCTCTCTCCCTCTCTCCCTCTCTCCCTCTCTCCCTCTCTCCCTCTCTCTCTCCCTCCTCTCCTCTCTACCTACTCCTCCTTCTCTCCCTCTCGCCCTCTTCCCTCTCTCTCTCTCTCCACTCTCTCTATCCCTCTCTCCCTCTTCTCTCGACTGCTCTCCTCTCTCCTCTCGCCCTCTCTCCCTCCCTCCCTCTCTCCCTCTCTCCTCTCTCCCTCTCTCCCTCTCTCCCTCTCTCCCTCTCTCCCTCTCTCCCTCTCTCCCTCTCTCCCTCTCTCCCTCTCTCCTTCTCTCTCTCGCTCTCTCTCCCTCTCCCCACGGCCAGGCCAAGCGGCATTACGTCGCCGCCTTCCGTTTCGTCAAGGAGGGCTATCGACTGGATTCCTGGTGGCCTGCCCTATTTAATTACGATGTATTTTGTGCTGTAGGGTTTAGCCAGGGGTTTAGGGTTTAGGGTTAAGGGTTTAGGGTTTAGGGTTTAGGGTTTAGGGATCAGGGGTTTAAAGAGGTCATGAAATGACGATCATTGAACTTTGAGATTTTTGTGTTGCTTTGAAGATCTTGGGTTCGCACGTTGCTGAGATCGGGTCCCTTTCTGGGGTGCCCTAACTTCCCGAAATCCCTAATCCCTAAACCCTAGACCCGAAATCCTAAACCCGAAATCCTAAACCATAAGCCCTAAACCCTAAACCCTAAACCCTAAACCCTAAACCCTAAACCCTAAACCTAAACCCTAAACCCTAAGCTAGTATTTGGCTAAGAACGGCTCCCCCAAAATAGGAAATATTGCCTGATTATTGTTTCTCTATATGTTTTTGCGGGGGGTCTTAAGCAAAATGGTGGTAAGCCGGACGCCCTAAACCCCAAAACACTAAGGGGTGGAGGTTCACAATTATAACGCTACTTCTAAGCCCCAAAGCCTGCTAAAGTAGGTTGTCAGGAGACTCATAATGCCGGTGATAAATACACCATGAACCTCCATTGTACCCAACCCTAAAGGGCTTCCCTATGTGTTAATACACCGACCCCTAAACCCTAAACCCTATAACCCTAGACCCTAAACCCATGTGAGCGCTTTAAGGTGGTACGGTGTGCCCGTGCTCCTCACGGGCCCTCTGCTGTCACTTCCTGGCCTGGTGGCCGCGGACGACCCTGCCTCACAGGCGAGGCCGTGGTCCCCAAAGCCGCAAACCTCCCTTCAAGTAGTTGCTATCCCTAAACCTAAAACCCTAAACCCTAAACCCTAAACCCTAAACCCTAAACCCTAAACCCTAAACCCTAAACCCTAAACCCTAAACCCTAAACCCTAAACCCTAAACCCCCTAAACCCTAAACCCTAAACCCTAAACCCTAAACCCTAAGGCCAAAATCCTTCATCCAGAGCTCTAAACCCGAAACCCGAAAACCCTGCTCAGATGGTGCTCACAACCTTGATCCTCTTCGCACACTTGCTGCTGCTCTTACTGTGCTGGCCGTGGAAGGTGCGATCGGGGAGAGTGCAGGGTTTAGGGTTTAAAGCCTTGGGGCTTTTGGGCTTAGGGTTTGGGTTTTTCAGGCTCAGGGCTTTATAAACAGCCCTAAACCCCAAGCCCTAAACCCTAAACCCTAAACCCCCTAAACCCCCTAAACCCCCTAAACCCCCTAAACCCCCTAAACCCCCTAAACCCCCTAAACCCCCTAAATCCCCTAAACCCCCTAAACCCCCTAAACCCCCCCCCTAAACCCCCCCTAAACCCCCTAAACCCCCTAAACCCCCTAAACCCCCCCCCTAAACCCCCCCCCTAAACCCCCTAAACCCCCTAAACCCCCATAAACACCCTAAACCCCCTAAACCCCCTAAACCCTAAACCCTAAACCCTAACCCTAACCCTAAACCCTAAACCCTAAACCCTAAACCCTAAACCCTAAACCCTAAACCCTAAACCCTAAACCCTAAACCCTAAACCCTAAACCCTAAACCCTAACCCGGCTTGCTTGGGGAGGTTAAGGTTTAGGGTTCCGCGCTGCGAGATTGGTAGGGGCCCAGGGTGTTTCGGGACTTCGTGGCTACACCTTGGGATGTTCCCCCTTGTACCAACAGTCCTTTAGGTGGTACCATAATTCCTATTCAGGACTGTTAGTATATGGGGGAGCATCCCAAGCGATACCTCTTGACCAGGGATGCTGTCAACTTAATATGCTTCTTAGCTAGGATAAGCCGTTCGCCAGGCAGGCGACCAGCGGTGTATCTGTACAGAGACACGTGCCGCAAAACATGTGTGTATATATATATATGTATTTTTACATATATGTGTATATCCACATACCACATGACTTCAACACTATCCGCACAGCTGTGGAGCAAATGCGAAGCTGACGTAGGTCGCTTCATTCACATCGCCAAAACGCAGGTGGTTCCTTTCCCCAAGGGGCAAAGGAGCCACTACTTGGAGGTTCAGGGTACCTGCAAACCCCAACTATAACTGTACTTACAAGCCCTCTAAGTCCTCTCAGTAGGTTATAAGTAGACTTATACTTGAGGTTGTAAGTATGATAGGTACCCCTGAACCTCCAAGTTAGTAAGTAGATTTTCAATTGGGGTCGAAGTACTTTGAGTGCTCTAAAGTGAGACTTCTACTTGGGGTTATATGTATATATATATATAGAGATAAAATAAATATATACGTACCCATGGACCTCCAAGTACAGATGTTCCGTGCTTGGTCCTTACGGAGAGTTCAGTGTGGATTCTTGGTTAGGGCCTTTCGAAATCCAGGGAGGGAGCTGTGGGTCGAGGGAGTGAGGGTCCAGGGTTTAGGGTTTAGGGTGTCGGGTTTAGGGTTTAGGGTTTAGGGCTTAGGGTTTGGTCTTTCGGGTTTAGGGTTCAGGGTTGAGTTCAGGGTGCCCACTTTCCTTGAAAGGTCCCGGTGGTGAATGTCATTGAGACCGTTGCGGCATCCGGGCTTTCGATGGCTGAGGGGGGGGTCTCTGGCTTAAGGGTTTCGGGTTTAGGGTTTCGGGTTTAGGGTTTAGGGTTCAGGGTTTAGGGCGGTTTCAAGGACCTAAGCCCTCAAAGCCCTAGGGAGCCCTACAAACTCCTGAGCAGCCCTTAAACCTCTACAACACCACCCCCCAAAACCCTAAAGAACCCTACAAAGTTCGCGCAATCCGAAAATCTTCCAGAAAAGCCCTTGAACAGAATCCCTTTGACACCCCTAAGCCCGGTAAGCCTGAAGCCTCAAGCTCTGAGTCGCAGGAGCATGTCAGAACGCGCGGGCCAAAACTTCTTCAGGGTTTAGGGTTTAGGGTTGAGGGTTTATGGACCATTTGTTGCGAAGTAAGTTCCTGATCTTTTTTACTACTTCACTCTGAATCTTTGCCCCTGCCAAGGGCCGACAAAGCTCTAAGAAGACGGAGACCCAAAAGCTTCAAAGACGGCCAAAGGCACGAACTAAAGCCAACAAACTGAAAAGAGGCTCCCAAAGCCCAAAGCAACCGACACTTTTTTGAGGCCTTAAAAAAAGACCTCACTCCAAAGCGTGGAACATCCTCAGCCCTAAGCAGGGCCAAGGCATGAACGAACAAAGGCCCCCAATTGCCCCTAAACCCCAAACCCTCAACAGTCCTCATCCCCGAAACCTGGACCTGGGACCCTGAACTCACCCTCGTCGCCTCGAACCCGAGAAGCCTAGCCGCCTCGAACCCGAGAACCTTTAGAACCCGAGAACCCTAGAACCCTAGAAACCTAGAACCCTACAACCTGAGAACCTTAGATCCCGAGAACCCGAGAACTCTAAACCCTAAACCCTCAACCCTAAACCCTAAACCCTAAACCCTAAGCCCTACACCCTAAACCCTACACCCTAAACCCTAAACCTTAAACCCTAAACCCTAAACCCTTTGAATCCCCAGGTCTCGGGCGCCCTCTTCTCAGCCATCAGCGCCGGGTTCTTCCTTCCGCCTGGGTCTGGGCCGCTCCCCGCAGATTTGGGGGGGTTTTAGGGGTTCTGGGGTCTAGAGGTTTCAGGGTTTAGGGTTTGAGGGTTTAGGTCTTAGGGTTTCAGGTCTTAGGGGTTTATGGGGTTTCGGGGTCTAGGGGTGTGGGAGTCGAACAGGCGAGTGAGCAGTTGGTTTTTTTGGGGGGAGTGGGGGGGGGTTTAGGGGTCTAGGGTCAAGTTTAGGGCAGTTACATTTTGGCAGTTTTCTTTTTTCGGCGGCGGGGCTCAGGGGGTGTACCAAGCTCACCCTACACCCCAAACCCCAAACCCTGAACCCTAAACCCTTTTCCCTAGACCCTAAACTCCCAGGACCTCCTTCTCAAGAGCCTTCGCCATGCTCACCCGCACGGTGGTGGCGGGCGCCTTCTGCCTGGTTTCGGCACCTCGTCGTTTTAGGGTTTAGGGGTCTAGGGGTTTAGGGGGTTTAGCGGTTTATGGAGTTTAGGGGGTTTAGGGGGTTTAGGGGGTTTAGGGGTTTAGGGGGTTTAGGGGTTTAGGGGTTTAGGGGTTTAGGGGGGCTTCAGGGCTTTAACGGCTCAGGGCTCCTTGGGGTTGTCTTTGACAGGGTTTAGGGTATTAGTTTGATGCCCAGGTCAGGTATAGGACCCCACGCTCACGCTCGCAACGCTTTTTGGGGTTCAGGGTTTTTGCGGCCTGGGACGCTATCTTTCAAGGCGGGGGGGGGGGTTGTTCCAAAATATGGTACCTGGAAGGGTTGCAATAGAATACCCAACCTTGTGTATTCAGTTCTTGGGACCATAATTTAGAGAACCTAGGCTTGGACGGCTCCCGCTCTGGTGTTGGGGTAGTTTCATGGGCCCTCAATGTGGTCGCACCTTCTTTAAAGAGTTCTGAGGTATGGACCCTTGGGTGTTTTAGAGTAGATTTAGGGGGTATATAAGGGTTCTCCGTTTACGGGATCAGGTTAGGGGACCATGTAACTACCCTGAGATCTGGGCTTCTGACCCCTTAATCAACAAGTCTTTAAGTAGAGCCTTCGTCCTGGGATTTTCAACCTGGAACTGCAGAGAAGATGCCCGAGTTGTCCCCCTGGTTCTTAGTAGGGAATGAGGGAAGGAGTACTTTGGGCTCCAATTCCCTCATTCCCTACTAAGAACCAGCCAGTTGTTGTGGCTCAGGTGATGTTCGTCTGCGGACTGATCGAGTGCAAGTGTTACGGAAGGAGCTTTCATGCCTCTGCTCTGTTTCGGGGGTATTGAGTGACATCCAACCCCTCAACCCTACTTGGAGGTTCAGGGTACTTATAACCCAATTATGAGTGTCACCGAAAGGCCCCTGAACCTTAAGTACCCTAATAGGGTTATACTTGAGTTATAAGTACAGGGGAAGCTACTCGTATCCAAAGCCTTCAAGGGTTCAGAACTGAGAAGTCTAGTGGCTAGCCCAGGTCTCAGTGCAGGTTCGTGCCTCAAGTTCCACGTGTGCAGCAAGACTGCCTGTTGACAACCGGCAGCCGTTTTCTTCGCAGCAGGGAGCCAGGAAAGTGTTCCATCTCGTTCTCAGCGCCAGATGTGGGGGTCTGCGAAAATAGGGGTCTCCCTGAAATAAACCCCAAGGATCCCAATAAGGTACCCCCGAGTTTCGGAAACCCCCATGTAGAGCAAAGGAACGAGCGAGGAGCCATCCTAGAACAAAGCGGAAATTCGAGTCGGATCTGACGGTCCGCAGCTGTCAGAAACCTGCCTTGGACCCCAGACCCCAAACCCTGAACCCCTAAACCCCTGCACCCTAAACCCACAAACCCAAGCCCTAAACTCTAAAACATACCTCCTGAAGCCTTAGGCTTGGGTTAGGCCTCGGACAAGCCTACGCCCCAAAGCCCTAAACCCCACAACCCGCCTCAGACTCTGGACTCCAAACCCTGAATCCTGAACCCTGGACACCGTTTTTTCTGGGGTGTTCAGTGTGTTTAGAGCTTTGGGGTGGCTAGGGCGTGTAGGGCTTAGGGCGTATGCTGGTTTTTTTGGGGGAGTGAGGACCCGGCGATTTATCTGGATGGACCTGACGCGTCCCAGAAGCTTGGCTCTGTGCATGTCAAGGGGAACCTGTAAAACCCTAAACCCTAAAGCCTGTACCCTAAACCCTAAACCCGAAACCCTATGCCCTAAACCCTAAACCCTAAACCACCCTAAACCCTAAACCCCCCAAAGGCTCGAAGCGATAAGCTGCCAAACCCTCAGTTCCCAGAACGGCCGCAACATAACTCTCAAACTCTAAGGCCTGAACCCTAAGCCCTATACATGTAAGAAAACCCTAAACCCTAAACCCTAAACCCTAAACCCTAGACCCTAGACCCTAGACCCTAGACCCTAGACCCTAGACCCTAGACCCTAGACCCTAGACCCTAGACCCTAGACCCTAGACCCTAGACCCTAGACCCTAGACCCTAGACCCTACATGTAAGATTAGCGTGGGCGCCGCTTGCATTCCCAGGCGATGTGCGATACCTCTACGATGGGCTCTTCAGCATCATGGAGTCATTGGCTACGTGGCTCTAAGGGAGTGAGCTGAAGCGTGGGGTTTAGGGTTTATGGTTTAGGGTTAGGGTTTAGGGCTTAAGGTTTAGGGTTTAGAGTTTAGGGTTTAGGGTTTAGAGTTTAGGGTTTAGGGTGTAGAGTGTAGGGTTTTGGGTAAAGGGTTTGGGGTTTAGGTCTTAGGGTTTAGGGGCCCCTGCCAGCCCTCACCTTCCCAACTTGTACATCATCATGTAGATTTAGGGTTTAGGGTGTAGGGTTTAGGATGCAGAGGTTAGAGCTCAGGATATTTTTGGATGTTTAATATAGGGTTTAGGCCGCAGAGTTTAGGGCTTAGGGTTTGGGATGCAGAGTTTGGGGTTTAGTAGTTTCTATAGGCACCTGTGGAGTCACAAGGCCCTTAAAAGAAGGAAAGGAGGCCTCTAGAGCGCTGTTCCCAGAATAGGGTTTAGGGTTTAGGGTTTAGGGTTTAGGGTTTAGGGTTTGGGTCCTAGGGTTTAGGGTTTAGGCCCTAAGACGTGAACCCCTCATGTGCCTGAATCCGCTTTATAAGGTTCACCCAAATAGGCATCACTGGATCAACATCAAGGTCCCGTTGGGCTCCCATGAGAGCTACTATTCGGTGTCTAGAGTTTGATTTGAACATGTTGGGTTCTTCGGTTAAGGGCGGCCGAAGAGTTTCCTGCGTCCTCATTTATTGAAGCGGGTGCCATATCTGAATAGTACACTGAATAATAGTCCCGAAGACAAGGGCTAAGAGATTTGGGGTTCAGGGTTTAGGGCCCACGGGCAAATTGCAGACTATGTGCTTATGTGCAGAGCGCGCGCATGCGCTCGCGCACGCCGGTGTGTGTGTGTGTGTGTGTGTGTGTGTGCGCGGGTGTGTGTGTGTGTGTGTGCAGCAAGCAGTGTAGCGACCCTATGGCATGGTAGCAGTAGCGCACGACGCTTCAGGCCGAGATGGAGGAGGACCACCTGAACTCAAAGCTCTTCCGAATGCAGCTTTGAGGTCAAGTGGGGATTCGGGTGTACTTGAAGGTTCATGGGTACTCATAAGCAGGGTTTAAGTATCCCAAATGAGGGAGAAACACAGTTGCCCTACTGATAACCTTACTGTTAGCGTTTACGGGTTGCGTAGGAGTTTGGGGGTTTGGGTCCAATGGGTGATTCGTTTTTTCTTGCCTCGTTAAATCACCTAACCCTACACCCAGGTTTCCCTCAACCCGAAACCCTAAGCCCGAAACCCTGCACCCTAATCCTCTGACACCTGCAGTGCCCAAGCAACCTAACAGACCTCAGCCCAACCCTGAACCCCCAACCCTGAACACCAAAACCCTAAACCCTAGCCCTAGACCCCAAGCCCCTAAACCCGAGCCCTAAACCCCAAACTGGCTTACCTCAGGCAGCCCTTCGACCAGACCTTGCTGAAGTCCTGCATCACGATGCTGTCGTTGGAGGCTGCAGAAGACTAGGACGCCCAGTATCGAAGGTTGGAACCATGGGCCCTTAGACCCCAAAGCCTATAAACCCTATAATTACCCTACAAACCCTATATAAACCCTATATAAACCCTATATAAACCCTATATAAACCCCACATAGACCCTACAAACCTTAACAAAACCTATATACCCTGTATCTAAGGTTGGAACCATGGGCCCCTTGTGTGGCCCCTTACCCTTGTTAAAGGGAGATTTAAAGCATGGGCCCTGATCATGTACAGTGTATATAAAGGTTATAGAACAGTTTCATGGTGATCCCAGAAGAGCCACTGAAAGAATTCAGGCCCTGGAGTCTGGAGGGGCCTGTTTAAACCACCCTGGGTGTTTGTGCTTTTGTGTTGCATGGATTTTTAGGGTCTTGGGGGTTTAGGGTTTCGGGTTTAGGTGTGCTAGCTCTCTTGAGGTTATAGGGTAGCATTGGCAATTAGCTCGGCTTCCGGCGCCTCAACCCCAAAACCTCTGTGTGGCACAAGTAGTTCTGGGGGGGGGTCTAAGTCGGGTAGCTGTGGGTCTATTTGTTTGTAACCTAGTTTAACGACTCATGGGTCAGTGAGTAGGGCTTTAGGGTGGGGGGCAGAGTAGCTTTAAAGAACGCGAAATCTAGACAAGAATTTGTGTCCACTTTTCGGCCTCTTCTTCCCCCTCCCCCCCCCGGTGGTCAGTTCTCTAACTCTGGTGCACCATATGGCCATTAAGCAAAGGGCTTTAGGGTCTTGTCTTAGGTTCAAGGGTAACCTGCATCCCAGATCGTTCCTCACGACTCCTTCCGGAACTCCATGCAGATGAAGCTCGGCCTGAAGGGTTTTATGGGCGTTTGGCGTGTTTAGGGTTTGGGGTTTGGGGAGTTTAGGGTTTAGGGTTCAGGGACAGCAGCCTGGAAGAATGACAATACTATCTCCTCAGGTTTTTCATGCAATTTTCCCATTCAAAGACCCAACAGCATGGCTCCATTTTCGGTTCCTTGGGGTTTGTCTGTCTTGTCCGGTGCTCGCCCGACGAGCGCATTGTGGATGGGGGCCTAAACCCTAAACCCTAAACCCTAAACCTTAAACCCTAAACCCTAAACCCTTCACCATCCCGCAGCTTAGCTGCCAGAGGTCACATCCTCAAACCCTCGCAGACGAAGAGAGAATCATACCGGTTTAGGGTCTCGGGTTTCGGGTTTAGGGTTTGGGGTTTAGGGTTTAGGGGTTTAGGGTTAGGATTTTTGGGGTTTAGGGTTCTTGAGACTCGAAGCCGAGTTTAGGGTTTAGGGTTTGTGGGCTTTTGTTTAGGGGATAGGATTTAGTTGCTTAGGGTGCCTGAGACTCGGCATCGAAGAGGGGTTTAGGGTTTGGGGTTTGTGGCTTTTGTGGTGTGGCCTCCCAAACCCCTCAAACCAAAAGCCTAAACCCTCAACCCCAAACCCCTCAAAGTGCTAAGCCCTTGACCCAGGAGGGCCACGGCTCGAATAAGGCCGGGGAGGGCAGAGGTTTGGGTTTACTTGGTTTAGGGCTTAGGGTTGAGGGTTTGCCCCACACCCCAAACCCTAAACGAAACCGTTCTGCTTTCAGAGGGGCCGGAGGGTGGTACAGCCTCGACCTTATTGGGGGTTCGAGGTTGATTACAGGGGTTATCCGGGGGTTTTAGGCATTTGTGGGTTGTTCTAGGGGTTGATAGGATTTGCAGGGTTTGCAGGGCTTATGGGGTGTCTAGGGTGTATAGGGGCTTTAGTGCTCATAGGTGGGGTAGTTTGTTGGGGTTTTCAGGTTTTCAAGACCCAATAAACAAAGCAATGTGTTCTTTTCTTTCTGCCAGGTTCCTGAAAAAAGATGGAATTGGTAGGATACATCCCATCGCCTGTGGTGCCTTCCCCTGCCACTGCAAATCCCGAACTTGGGATGTTCCCCCTTATACTAACAGTCCTCAATAGAATTATCATACGAAGTAACCCTAAACCCTAAACCCTAAGCCCTAAACCCTAAACCCTATCAAGGACTGTTAGTATAAGGGGGAACATCCCAACCCCAAACCTTAAGCCCTGAACCCTCAACCCTCAAACCGCTCTTCGCCAATCATTCGCTGCCAGACAACCCCAACAGAGCCCTAAACCCTAGACCCTAAACCCTAAACCCTCAACCCTCAACCCTCAACCCTCAACCCTCAACCCTAAACCCTGAGCCCTGAACCCGAAACCCTAAACCCTAAACCCTGAACCTGCCAAAGTGTTTGGCCCAGGGGGCTTGGAAGCCCTACGCTCTTGAATTCATCCTGGGTCTAACAGCCGTAGCCCTGAACTTAGAAGCCCTCTCAAGCCCAAAACTAGTTTGGGGTTTAGGGTTTAGGGTTTGGGGTTTAGGGTTTAGGGTTTAGGGCTATGCCCTAAACCCTACGTCGCAGGTCCTCCTACAGATCCTCCTACAGCCTCGATGGGATGGCTGAGAGGGCTTTGTCCGATGATGAGGCTGGGTAGGGTTTAGGGTTTAGGGTTTAGGGTTTAGGGTTTAGGGTTTAGGGTTTAGGGTTTAGGGTTTAGGGTTTAGGGTTTAGGGTTTAGGGTTTAGGGTTTAAGGGTTTAGGGGTTTAGGGTTTAGGGTTCAGGGTTTAGGGGTTTAGGGTTTATGGTTTAGGGTTCAGGGTTCAGGGTTCAGGGTAGGGTTTAGATAGTTCTGGGG